TTTTCGACAGAACGAGTTATTTACTATTATGAGTTGAGTGAATGGTAGCTCATCGATTGAGTCAGATATACATAGATAGTTACATGCTGCGGTAAAAAAAGGAAACGCGATGATTGCAAAGATTGCAATCTTAATCGCGAGACTCAATTAAATCCCCTTTATAAATACTTCGTTATACTTTGTTACCCGTAAAGCAATTTTGTTATTTGCTTCTTTATGAAAATGAGCTCGAGTAATTGGCAACATCTCAAAATATCTTTATTTTGCCTTATTTTATCGATAGGATATATATATACAAATTGAATATTGTTTTGATGGGAATAAATTACATATTTAAAACGTTAATGTAGTTACATGTACATATTATTTCATTGATTCATGTACGTTATCAAATTGCTACAGGAAAACCAGAGTGTTAAACAAGGCTTTCCTGCAGCACTCGATAAAACGGGCTTGCCTGGTCCTTGCACGTTAACCTGTCATATCAATATCAGATATCAATTATGACCAACTTAAAAAAAATGTGAATAACAGTAGAGATATTATTATTGGTATTTAATTGATTAGATACCTTCAGAGATACCTTAAAAATCAATAATATGATGCATCATACAATCAATTTGGTCTTAGACCTGTTGAGCAAGAACTTAAAATTTTTTGTTTGACAAGGTTGTTTTGAGAGATTTATGGAATTCCTAACAACAAAAAATTCTACCTAACATTGAGTTAAATAGTTTGGAAAGCGATGTGACAATAATGACGATGTGACAATAAGACTTATTCAGTTCGCTCGAAGCTAAATTGGCTACGCTAATGTTCTTGCTGGTATAATATATCAGTTTGAATCTTCTACAAACTAGACTTTTCTACAAACAAGTACGAGCACCACAGGAATCCCGTTGAAAGGCAAAAGCAATGCCATCAATACTTTAAGAAAGAAATCCGATTTCGACGTGTTCAGTAAAAAGCTTTACGATCTCGCTGACAAGTTTTTGCATTAGTTTCTCTATTATACAAGAATTTTCAAAATTAATTCAAAATCAACTGTTCCTGACAACCGAATGTACAAGCAATACTACTTTATTTTATTTGTTCATATTCAATATAAAATGTAGTCATTTAGTTCCCTCCAAGCTTTATCTTATCTACTATTATACATATATGTATATAGATAATCACAGCATTCTGAATTCAGGCGTAACTTCCTGTTGTATCAAATATAATATATATGTCTTTCTGTATTTTACATTATTTTTGCATAATTAATATATTACGCTAAACTTAATAAATATAAAAAAATTTATATAAAGATTAAAAGCGATAAATGTTTGTAAATACAATTTCTATGTGACTAGAGAAATATCCCAGACCAGATCCTAAATTGGAACTTTAAAAAAAAAAAAAACAATCGTGTTAAACCTATCAAATCACTGTCATGAATGCGTCATTGCTTTTAAATAAGTTGCACGGGAAATTTGTCAAGCTGCGCGGTGAGGAAAGGAACTATTACGTATGCATTCGACTTATCTCGGAGAAGTTTATGCACCTTGCGGCAATTACCATCGTCCCGATCACGAGCCGCGATTGCGCATACGATGCATTTGCTAAGTGTCATACGCGCGTGGCACCCCAACTTGTACGCACGGCACATCCGGTCGCGAGGAGTCGCACAACCGACCCTGTCTCGTCGGTCCCGTAACTACGCGTCCTGTCATGTCATCGCGTACGCATTGTGTAGTAAAAAACGTGTAAACGCGTAAACGAGGCAAAACTCCACATGGTTTCGTGCACCAAGGACATTCTATCTCCTATGTAGCTCTACTCTCACTGATCCCCTCCGCCCTCACCACCATCTCTTCTGTTACCTTCGTCCTCTTTGCTTCTCTCACAGTTGATCGCTTCAAATTATTCACCGGAAGCGACCCTCGCTTTTCCACGTATCTACGTACGCGTGAGGAATCTCTAAAATCGGCGAATAACGTAAAAATACGAGTTTTGGGGAATGATGAGATTTACTGCTCGATACGATGCAATGTTGGCCCGTAAAAAAATGATTTATACTCTTATTTCTTCAATAAAATTCATTAAATATCTTGATTCCCATCTGTTCTCAATAATGAGAGCAAAGTGTCATGTTTGTAATTGATTTAAAATAAAATAATCAGACTAATAACTAATAGTTTAATTTTAAATTATCGAGACATAAATTATTAGATTAAAAATTAAATCTAACAAAGAGAAGGGAAAAGATTTTATTAGAAAGAAGTGAAGTTCAAATTTATAACAGATATTGAATACCTTTTTTATTATTTCATTTTTTCTATCGCTTTTATTTTTATTTATAAATACAAAGAGCATAATGCAAACAAACTGTTTTGAAGCTTCTCTATGTTATAGGCTTTCTAGAATAAGCTATTAGTAATAGATCATAAATCAGAAACTAAGAATTGATCAATTACAGATTGAATATAATAAGAATACTCGACTATGATTGATCAATTCTTATTTTCTGACTTATGATCTATCACTTATGACTTATTGTAGAATGACACTTAGTGACTCGAAGAGAAAGGAATTTTGCTTATTCAGCAAATTTTTCTTTCAAATGAGAACGAAAACCATCAAAGAATATACAATTCTTTTCTCAAAAATATCTGTTTAAATATCATTATTCAATACAGAATTTCTTCTTGTATTAGTAATATTCTTGTATTAAGGAAATAATCTTTTAATTTCATTTGATAATTTCAAGTCATGGTTCTCAATAATCTCGCAAATACAAATATCATTATGTAATGTTCACTTTGT